GTTCAACTCTTAGATCGGTGAACCTCCCATCATCTCCAAGGCACCATCTTCTCTGCTCGTCAAACGCCTTAGATCGGCGAGCCTCCGCCGTAGTACTCGTCTCCACCATCGCGTCTCCCCTCCGCTTTCGACGCCGGCCACCATCGCGCCTCCCCTTCGCTTTCAACGCCGGCCACCATCGCGTCTCGTCCTCGCACCGTGGCTGTCAAGTGGGAGAGGAGAAGAGAGATCGCGCCCTCTCTGTTTCTGCCAGATGGAAATGAAAAAGGGGAGATGAGAGTGAAAGAACCGCTTCGTGTAAAATGAAGAAGCGAATATGAGATGAAAAAGCGAATATGAGAGTAGGTGAGGTGAGATGAAAAAGCGAATATGAGAGTAGGTGAGGTGTGACTGATTTGACCGGGGTAATAGGCCTCGGTTCTACCTTTAACCGAGTCAATATGCTAAAATACAGTCTCAGTTCCACTTTTAACCGAGTTAATAGCCCAAAACACAGTTTATATGCTTTGGTCCTTACTAAACCAAGGCATATAAATTCATCAAAACTACAAAATTGCCACCACTCTCTCATAGACTTCGGTTTTCCTTAAACCGAAGTATATTGGACGAGTTAAAAAGCATAATTTTTACTAGTGAAACATTCAGCGTTATACTTGCAGCAAGTATGAGCACTACTCATCAGAATGTTGGCATAACGAAGCTGTGAAGAAAGGAAAGAATGATGAAGCAAATCTTGCACAAGATACATGTGACTCAGAATCGGACCATGTGTTATTGATGAGCACGATAGGGCATGATGAAGATGAATTATGCTGGAAGTTGACGCTGGACAGGTGTGAAGAAGAATTGGGTCATGCGCTGGACAGGTGTAACCGAGAGACAGACCACATGTTGCTATCAAATGCAACGAGCCATGTAGAGGATGAATCATGCTGGTACTTGGACACAGGGTGTTCCAACCATATGACGGGTAAGAGAGAATGGCTGATAGACCTGGATACAAGCATAAAAAGCAATGTGAGATTTGTAGATAACAGTGTGATCATGGCTGAAGGAGCGGGCAAGGTCTCGATCACTCGCAAGGATGGCCGATTCGCCTACATGATCAATGTGTTGTATGTTCCAACGATGAGGAGTAATTTGTTGAGTCTGGGACAACTTCTGGAAAAAGGTTACACCATGTCAATGGAGCAAAAACACATAGAAGTGTTTGATGAAAGGCAACTTCTAGTGCTCAAGGCTCCTCTTGCTAGAAACAAAACATTTAAGGTGAACTTGAATCCTACTATTGTTCAGTGTTTAGCTGCTGTTAATATTGAAGAGGAAGGATGGTTATGGCTTTATCGCTTTGGGCATCTGAACTTTAAAAGTTTGAGTCAATTGAAAGGCAAGGAATTGATAAAAGGGGTTCTAATGATATACATTCCTGACAAGGTGTGTGAGGGTTGCGCTATTTGGAAACAAACCAAAAACGAATTCAAGAAATCTGCTCTCAAGAGAGCAAAGCAACCTCTTGAAGTTATCTACTCTGATGTGTGTGGGCCCTTTGACGTGTAGTCACTTAGAGGTAATAAATATTTCCTGATTTTTGTAGATGAATGGATTAGGAAAATCTGGATTTATTTGTTGAAAGGAAAGAAAGAAGTGTACTTATGCTTTGTTAAATTTTGTGCCATGGTGGAGAGACAATCTGGTATGCAGATCAAGACCTTCAAGACCAATGGTGGAGGAGAGTTCAACTCTAGCAAAATGAGTAGATTTTGTGATGATAAAGGAATTATGCATGAGGTGGTTGCTCCATATACACCCAGCATAATGGCCTGGCCAAAAGAAGGAATAGGATGTTGCTTGACATGACCAGGTGCATGATAAAAGGAAAGAAGCTGCCACATTGTCTATGGGGAGAGGATGTTTCTACTGCAGCCTATTTGTTGAATAGAAGCCCAATAAGAACTCTACCGAATTGTACTCCTAAAAAGGCCTGGTCAGGAATCAAGCTAGCTGCTAATCACCTGAGAATTTTTGGGTCTACATGCTACCACTAGTGCAAAAACAACGTATAACGTCACGCGTTTAACGTCGAACCACTAAATAGCCAACATTCACTAGTGCAGAAAGGGCTTTAGACGTCCGTTCTCTTGGCTTTTTGACGTTCGACCTTCCCCCGACGTCTTTGTGGGTGACGTTACTCAGACGTCGGGGGTTCCACATCGGACGAGTGTATAGACGTCCGATGTGTCAGGCCCGACGCCTATGCAGACGTCCGGTGTACACCCTCGGATGTCCATATAGACGTCCAATGTGCCCCCGTCAGACGTCTATACAGATGTTCGTCTTCTCCTCCCCCCGACGTCTATTCACACGTCCGAGGTGTGTCACCCGACGACCACATGCCTGAATTGTCTTGTGCTAGGGGTGGGGTTGGACGTTGGTGTGTGCACTGCCAGACGTCTATAGACGTCCGACAGTGTACTAACCGACGTCTACTGGGCGTTTTTTTTTTAAAAAAATAATTTATTTTTGCAATAAAACCACACCTGAAAAGCAGAAAATTGTCCCAGAACAATTTTGCAATAATATATATATATATGCGTTTCATATAAACAAAGTTCTACTTAATGTAAAATATAATCCACTACCAAAACTATCAAGTTAAAACTTAAACTAAAACTAAGCAATGTTCAACAACAAATAAAACTATTCCTAACTCCATCTTTGCAGAAGATAAGCGGTCCACTCCTGCCTTATCTGTATAATTGTGTCCTCTAGAATAGGCGATGTACTCTTGAAGCGCTGCAAAATTAAAGAAAGATTCATTATGGTTTCATATATGTTTGAAGATAAATTTGATTTGTAATGTATTCAAGGTATACGTCATTACCTCATTCCAGTCATCTGTAATGACAGCTCGAATGATGGTCTTAATCCAACACATCACATAGAAGCCACATTCCCATGAATCTAGTTGCTGGTTACACTAAAATAACAAACTAAATAGTTAAGAATTTAGATCATTCAATAACATAGAAAATAATGAATTAGAACTATAAATGACTTAAAACCTTTGGATACAAAATTTGAACCAGTTGACCACGTGATTTACCAATAACTCTGTACAGAT